TCTGAATGGTTTTATCTTCCTATCCCTCAGGAGAAAGAATTAATGGATACCATGACAAAAGTGTGGCCCAAAGGAGCAATGTTTAGGCAACCACATCCCACAAGCATGACTGCAGTAGAGGCCACATTATTCAATAACTTTACTACTATCTGGAAAAGCAAATGCAGAGAATTTCTCTACTCCTTTGCACCCAGATATTACACTGAGTAGGACCTAAGAATTAAATTCTTTATTTATGAGATAAGGGAAATGTAAAACAAAACAAAACAAAAAAGAAGCCAAAATGAACTAATAAAAAATCTGTAAGTATTTTCCAAAGAGAACAAATACTAAACCTATTAGCATTACTATTGTAGTTGTCAGTGTGGATAAATAAAATTCAAAGAAAGAATACTCTTCATTTTAAAGAAATCATTTCTTCCTTGATATGAGCTGTGCACAATATGAACTAATACTAAATGTCCAACAGAGTCATTTCAGAGAAATAAGTCCCTGTTAAATAATTTTGCTCGTTACTTCAATAAGTACAGTTATTACTCTCATAAATTATAACAGTAACAATATGAAATGGTTAAAATTGCATTAATATTTACCTTTTTTAGAAGAGTTATATTTTTCTTGCTCTTCAATGAATTAAATGCACATAATGATGGAAACAAAAGAAAGAAATCAGCAAATTTATAGTTAAACATGGAAATGTGAATTAAGACAATGGCATGAACAATTAAATACATAACATATAACCGTGACATGATAAATTACAATGATAAATCATGAAGAAGTCTCAAAATGGCACTAAAATTAATTAAAGGATGAATGAATACAACAATTTAAAAATGTAAAATCAAAAAAGAAACACTGGAAATTAATTCTTGGCATTTGAAGAGTATAATCCATGACATTTTTCTTGCCTTTTCAGAATTGCCTAATAGTTTAGCAATAATTTTACTAAAACATTTCAACTTAAATTCATTGTGATTCTTTATTCTAAATGTATTTGAAAACTTATTTAATGCTTATAATTAAATTTTCTCTCATTTAAAAAATTACAGCATTTCTGATCATTTAAAATTTCATATAATGAATTAAAAAGTAAATTTCAATTTTTACTAGATAGTAGGTATTTTCTTTGCACTGTAGGAAATATTCTGTAACACTTTCCACATTAATACAAAAAAATACTAAGGAATTTCACAAGGTTCATGGAAAAACTCCATTATTTTTTCATTCCATTTTTCCATGAACTTTTTAAAGTTCCTCATATATTCTAGTTTAAATAATTATTTCTTCCTCCTCCAATTAAAATATCCCAAAGTAATATAGCTTGCTCCTCTTTAGATTTTAATTCTAAAATACTTCACAAAACTTAAAATGCACCTCCTTGCTAGTGTAACACCTACTTATAAATAATACCCTACGTAAATACTTCTTCTTTAAAAACATTCAGTTAAACCTAAAACAAACAAATAAAAAAACCCATCACTTGATTGCTTTAAAAAAAGCCACACAACAAAAATTTTAACACAACCAACTGTGTTGTTCTCAGTTTCACTCTACATATGGGTATATGGAATACAATGTTGGAGTACAACCAGAGATATTTCTTGTAAGTCATTGCTCTCAAATATCACAGGCTGTCAAAGGAGCTCTGGTAGTGTAGTGGTTACTAATTGGGCTGCGAACCACAAGGTCAGCAGTTCGAAACTACCGGCTGCTCCGTGGGAGAAAGATGAGGCTTTCTGCTCCCATACAGATTTACAGCCTCGGAAATCCTGTTAAGGGTTGCTATGGGTCAGAACCGACTCGATGGCTCTTAACAACAACAATCACATCAGAATTATCTAAAATGTCAGACTACATTTTCAACCAATTTATTTCAAAATATGTATTGGAATAATTTCTCTTCTTTTTCCCTAAGTAATCTCCAAAATAATCATCATCAGATTCCATGTAGCAAATACGCTAGCATTTCCAAGGTTTAGAAAAAAGTTGACAATACTTTTTGAAAAATTAAGCAAATGTGTTTTTTTAAGCAGTATCTTAATCTTTAAAATAAAATTGTTTTATGATACAAAGTTAGTAGCAAATTAAAAATGACAAGAAAAACAAATCTAGACAGACAACGCAACCATCCCAACATATATTCTGAAAGCAATAATGTAAGTACTTGTATCCAGACTGTGTATGAGTGAAAATATTTTATAAGTTCTTCCAGAAATCTAAACCATTCGAAATGTTTGCTCTTACCAATCGATGGCTTATCAATTCAATTATTTTTAGTAAAGAAAACAGTCTTTTGTTATAATAAAAAAACAAACAAAAGAGGAAGGAAGAAAGAAAGAAAAGGGGAAGAAAAAGAAAGTCAAATGCAGTAGAGTACTAATCACTTGAAAATAAGTTGCAGCCAGCAGTAACCTTTATAGGAGATAGAACTTGAATAGTTTAAAAAAATACTAAAAAGGAAAAAAAGCAACGACTATGTGATTCTATAGCCTCAAGAACAACCATGACATCAACTAAATAAAATGCATAAATCCTGACTACCTCATGATTCAAATTACAAATTTACATTTAAAAATGCTTTAGGACAAAGAAAAATCATCCTTTGAGCTATTCATTTTGAAATAGATCCATAATGCAATGATGGTACACAGTTATCATTTAACAAAAGTCCCTAAGCACATATTATTATCATAAAGTAAACCAGACTGAATTTAATTACAGAACACTTAGACACAATACATGTTTGCTGTCAGTTTTTAAATTGTTATATTTAGACAACTCTTGAGATCACAAATTCCAGGAACATCAAATCACCAGAAGTGTTTACTAGTTTATTTGTGATATTAAATATTAAATTAATAACTCCATCAGTTTCATCCTCAGTCATTCCCTTCTTCCCACCTCAATCCAATCTTTACAAACTGATGATTGTTCTGAAAGACAACTGTGAACACAAATATCATAAATAGTAACATTGATATTAACAATAAAATCCGCTTTTAAAAATATAAAAATTCAACATACAATCCAACTGATTTTGTAGACACTATTCTTATTCTACATAAGTAATGTGACGAAAATCTTACTGCACAAAACTTGTATGCAGTACTTTCATATGTTTTTGAACCTGGAATTAATGTTGTATTTGCAATTGGAGGAAATGCAAAGAGTTTTAGGTACAAACAATTTTTCTCACATTAGTCTGAATAGCTGACTAATATTGCCAGTAACAATGAATGTTAGCAAAACACCAAAATTTATAATTTTTTTAGTTGTGCAACAGGAGTTCATGAACAGATAATTTAAACACACATCAAATTTTATATTTTAAAAGTAAAGGCTGAAACAATTTTATCTGGATTATCATTAATTAGAGTTTTAATAAAATAAAATATGAATAATCATCTAAAAATACTCCCAGAAAAGAGAAGAATAAGTTTATTAAACATGTGAATCGGTTATTCTAATGAAATCACTTGTATTTTAGAAAAGAAAGCCAGAGTTTCACAAAATATTATTTTCCTTGTTAAATAAAAGAATACCCTAAAACAACCCTGAAAATTGAAGCACAGTTCGTCAACAGGATACATGATTTTTAAAAGTACAAATCCACAGTATCAGTATCTCTCAATTAAAAACATGATACCCCTTAAACTCCATACTACTTTTTTCATTTACTCTAAAGTACTCATTATGGCACGTTATACCACATCAGTCTTTGAAACAAGATGTTTATCTTCCTAGCTCTTTAACATTTCTGAGTTGAGTAAAGTACTTCTGAGTTGAATTTTAAAAAAACAAAACAAAACAAAGAACTGGTGCACAGTACCATCATTGACCCAGATGGCATACGTAAAATCACTAATACAGAATAAAATACACATTTTACATCAGCAACAATCAACACTGTTGAGGAAAAAAAACAACATTCAAAATGTTAACTTTTCAGTTGCTTCATAAAGGATAATGATTTTCAGTAGGTTTCACCATATCTAAATTTATAGCATTTATATTGCTACTCCAAATTACAAACTGTGTTGACAAATTGCTTAACAAACCCTTGGTATGGAATAGATTGTTTACGAAACAACTGTTATGAAGTATGTGGTAACAAATATTGACGATAAATAATTTCATCTACTGAGACTAGGGATAACACCTTAGGGTAATATGAAGAAAACAGTGATTACTTAAATCTAGTACTCATCTAACCAGTTTAGAGAAGTTAGTTTCCACTATCAAACACACAACACACACTCTCCCTTTCATATGCTTAAAATAAGGGAATCTTAAAGTAACACAAACTAGTGAAAATAATACTAAATTATGCTTTATGTACTTCATCACAAAACATAAAAAATACACACGGTATTACCAATTAAATGAAAATAAAGAACACTGTTGAAGTCCTCAATATCATCAATGTAAAGATTTTTTAAAAACAAGGTAAAGCAAGTCTCTTTGTAGCACATAAAATACCATTTTTTAAAAATTGAAGTTTAAAATTTTTTTTCATTGGTCTCTTCAAATGAAAGTGTTTCCAGAGCTTAATCAAGTCTTTCAAATTAGTATAATAAATACATTCACTCACTTATCAAAAACTGAGTATAACTCCATTAACCACTATAACTAGGTGTTGGGGGAAAAGTTCTAAGAAATTTAAATTCTTAGGATTCAACTAATTACCCAAAGCCCACTGTTATCAACTAGATTCCAAATCACTGTGACCCTATAGAATAGGGTGGAACTGCCCTATAGGGATTCCAAAGCTGTAAAATTATGGAAGCAGACTGCCCCATCTTTCTCCCATGCAGTGACTGGTGGGTTCAAACCACTGACTTTTCAGTTAGTACCTGGGAGCTTAACTGCGACACTACCAGGGCTCATTCAACAAATACATACATAATCAAAATACTCTTCATCTAAAAAAAGGAGTATAAAACAAGGAGGTTTTCAAACCCAAGATTTTTGGACAATGATCTCTCTTTATCGGATACCTTGTTCTATACTGCCGCTTCTCACTGGCACTTGTGGGAGTTGTCTTCCCCTGCGATTGCTGAAAGATGTGTCTGCTGGAGGAGACTGAGTTGGGCTTCCTTGCCGGTGCATTCTGTAGGCAGAAAACAAAAGGCAATTTAACGACGTAATTGTAATATGGTCTAACAACAACCTTTTCCTTCTTTCTGTTATATAAAACCCTTAAATGAACCTTTAGAAACAGAATTAAATAGTTTTTTGGATATATATAAATGGAATATTTTTAAAAATGGGCTAAGGGAGATAGGGCAATGAACTGAGCAGAATCAATTTACTTCTTTTCATTAGTTTTCTATTAAGTTGTGCTTCTTGAAAATTATCTACTTTTGGTAGTGTTGAACCATATATATTCAATGATAGCCTCTGGATCTTAGCAATATGAATAACTTAGTTAAGAGAGGCTATTGTCTAAATTGCTAGTATTAAATTAGTACTCTAGAATACATTATAACTGATAAGAATAATTCTATCTACAACTGTTTACAAATTGCCATTTGTTTACAGTTTCATTTATAATTAACCCGTAGATTCATGCTATGAAATCTATTGCTGCAAAGATGGAAATTACAATGAAAATTTGAATAGAATGCAGATACATTTTCACTGCACAATATTAAGCAGGCCTTCATCTGCTGGCATTCAAACTTTTTTTAAACTAAAGAACTCGAAAACACGCTAAGATTTTTATAAACACATATGAAATGTTATTTTTTATTCCTCTTACACTTGTTAAAGCAAATATATACTTTAATTCCAAGTAATATGAAAAATTTCACATAATTAAAAAGATTGTATATGAATATGCCACAAACAGATGGAAGGACATAACACAGCCAGATTTAATTTTCAATGGTAGTTAACTGGCAGGAACTATAGAATACCACCAGCACAGTGAAAATAGATGCAAGTAATAAAAGATGTGTGAGAGGTTTAAGTGTCACAAAGAAAGGATCAGATACTATGGTGTTAAAATGAGTGAAAGCATCGAGTGCTCAGGAAGGTACAACACCACACCAACACCTGGAGGCAGGACATGAATGCTGGGCTAGACACTGAATAGCAACCTTGTCAGAAGCGGAGAAGGTGGCGCCGACCCTCCAGGGGCAAGGTGGTGCATAGAACACAGTGTTCTGACACTAGAGTGCTCACTCGACCTTGAGCGAGTGGGATGTTTTCCCCTAAAGACTGGCTGATCAGTCGCTCTTGGGGCTGCGTGTCCCCTTCTAGAAAGACATGGTGGGAGGACCCTAAAACATTAGGGTCAAAAAAGATCTTCAGTCAGCAGGTTCACATTAACTTTGATACCACACATTTGTCCAAGGAAAACGTGGTTACTCTTATAAAACAGTGATTTTAAAAACCTGAAGGAAACCCATCACACAGTTACTGAAATGGAATTAAAATCTAACTGAAAAGTTATTATTCCCAATGTGCACACCAGGTGGTTTTTAAAGAGCTGAGATCTCTTTCATGTAATAAACCTCTTATAAGTTCCACAAGGACAGAGACTTCTGTCTCTTGGTTTTCACTGAGCTGCATTTCCAGAGCCTTAAATACAGCTGCACAGAGTAAGAGTTCAGTAAATTCAATGCTGATTGAATGAGTGCATATAATACGAATAATGAATACAGGGACATTTCAAACACTTGCCTTCAAGAAGAAATAATACACTGTAGAGCTCTATATATTTCCACATAGTTCATAATTTCACTCTGCAATAAGCAAAGCTTTGCCAAGTAGCAAAGGAGATGGCTTCTGAGTTAATTTATGTAGACCAAATAATTAAAATGATATAATAAGACTGAGAAAGCTTTATTATAGAACTGATTAAATGTACTTTTACATCTGAGAGAGCATATTTCTATCCATAAGTCAGCCATTTTCATTTACTCAGTTATTATATATATATATATTTCCAGTGGATATATGCCTTGGCCTATTTTATCATTTGCAGTTTATTTTAAATAAAATGCACATTTAAAATATCTATATTAGGCTTTCTACAGTGATAGAAGCAATAAAATCACACCTGATTCTCTTTAAAGCAATACTATATAATAGACTTATTAAGTGATCAAAAATCTGTTAGGGTTAAAAACACATACTGATCAAAAGTACATTAACTATTGACTGCTTTATTCAAATTGTATTCAGACTGACATTTTTCCTTCTCTTTTGAATAAAATGGTTTTAACAACTATAATCTCTCCATTCAGAACAACAAAATGAGGGAAATGCCAGATTTGAGAGAAAAATAAGGTACAGTTTAGGTCTTTAATATATGTGCATGCTATTTCCTTGAGCTATGGATTAATGCTTTAATGGAACTGAACGAAAATCCTGAAATCTAGACTGTTACTTCAACTTCCAATTTAAAAGAAAAAGAACTGTCAATATTCTACATACTGAAAATTATACTATTATTCTGAATTGACTTTTCACCTAACTTGATTATGCTTATACTTTTCAGAATTGATGTGGGAAAGATTGTATGACTAAGTCATTTTCAATAATAAAGAATATGTATTTTGTTTTGTTTTTAATCATTTACTCTTCAAGAAACTTGAATAAATCTTTGTCAAAAGTATGATTTCTAAATGAGTCTGGAAAAGTTGAATGATAATAAATAGTATGAAGAAATTTTATGGCTTGTAATGTCATGAAAATTTTGCCTCATTCCTAAAGCAATTCATAAGCATTAAAAAGACCACTAAGAAACACTGGTGGCACAGTGGTTAAGATGTTGGCTGGCAACTGAAAGGTGATGGATATGAACTTACCACCCAATCCATGAAAGAAAGAGGTAACAATCTGCATTTTACAAGATTTATAACCTTGGAAACTCTATGAGGAAGTTTTACCCTGTCTTTTAGGGTCACTGTGAGCTGGAATTAACTTCAGGGCAGAGGATTTGGTCTTTGTTTTAAAGAACTTCTTAAAAGTGACTTGAAGTGTGAATAAGTTATGTTAGTCTTAAAAACTGCCTGATTATTGTGAATTGATTTTCACCTTAACTTGACTGTGAATAAACTTTATAGAATTAATTACAGGGAACCAAAGTACAACTCAAGTACATGTGATTTAATGTGCCCGTGTTCCAAGTACTGAGGCTTGGTCAGATTGAAGAGAATAGCCTGTAATATTCAAGATTACTCATTTAGCACAAGATTTGTTTTTCTCTGACAGAACTAAAAGTCCCCCAGTGCTGGAACAATTACTGCCACCAGTCAGTATATAACAAGTAAGAGCACAGTGCTGGTGGCACTGTGGGATGAGAACCAGATCTTCTTTGGAAGAAAGATGAGGCTTTTTGCTCCTGTAAAGATTTAAAGATTCCAGAACTCTATACCCGCTACTCGTCAGTCAGTTTACACTGTGGGGGCTTGCGTGCTGCTATGATTCTAGAAACTATGCCACTGATCTTTTAAATACCAATAGGGTCACCCATGGCGGACAAGCTTAAGATGAGTCTCCAGACTAAGAGTAGGAAGAAGGAGTCACAGACTACTTTCAAATATTTAGTCATTGAAAACCTTAGGAATAGCAGTGGAACATTGTGAGCACCAGAATACTGAATAGTGAAACATGATGAAGACCACCAGAATATTGTCAGATATAGTTTCAGAAGATGAGCCCCTCAGGTTGGAAGGCACTCAAAATGCAACTGGAGAAGAGCTGCCTCTTCAAAGTAGAGTTGACCATAATGACATGAATGGAATAATAAAGTTTTGGGAACCTTCATTTGATGTTGGGGCACAATTAAAAATGAGAAGAAACAGCTGCCAGAATTCATTAACAATCAAAACATGGAATGTACAAATTATGAATCTAGGAAAATTGTAAGTTGTTAAAAATGAAACAAAATCCATACACATCAATATCCTAAGTACTAGTGAGCTGAAATGGACTGGTATTGTTCATTTTGAATCTGACAATCAAATGGTTTACTATGCCAGAAATGGCAAATTGAAGAGGAATCGTGTCACATTATCAAAAAGAACATTTCAAGATCAATCTGGAAGTGCAATGCTATCTGTGATAAGTTAATATATTGTTGTTGTTGTTGTTGTTAAGTGTCATCGAGTTGGTTCCCACCCATAGCGACCCTGTACAGGGTTTCTGAGACTGTAAATCTTTACGGGAGTAGAAAGCCTCATCTTTATTCCACGGAGCTGCTGGTAGTTTAGAACCGCTGACCTTAAGGTTCGCAGCCAATTCGTAACCACTACACTACCAGAGCTCCTTAATATATATACACCTATAAGTAACACCAGTAAATACAACTATAATTCACATTTATGAATGAACAATTAAAGCCAACGATGAAAAAAACTGAAGAATTCTATCAACTTGTTCAGTCTGAAATGATCAAATAAGCAATCAAGTTGCATTGATAATTACTGGTGATTGAAATGCAAAGATTAGAAATAAAGAGACTTGTTCATTGCAAATATCTTTTTTAAACAACACAAAACATGTCTATACACATGGACCTAAACAAATGGAATACACAGAAATCAAATTGACTACATCTATGGAAAGAGATGGTTGAAAAATCCATTATCATCAGTCAAAAAAAGGCCATGGGCAGTCTCCGGAACAGACCATCAATTGCTCATATGCAAGTTCAGGCTAAAGCTGGAGAAAATTAAAATGTGACCTTGAAAATATCTCACCTGAATTTAGAGATCATCTCAACAACAGATTTGATGAATTAGACACTAATGACCAAAGACCAGAAGAGTTGTGGGATGACATCAAGAACATCATACAAGGAGAATGCAAAAGGTCAGTAAGATTAGAAAGAAGGAACAGACCAAATTGGTCTGAGCAAGAGACTGAAACTTGCTTTCCAGCATAGAGATACTAAAGCTAATGGAAGAAAGTGGAAGGCAAAAAAGCTAAATATAGAAATTCCAAAGGGCAGCTGGAGAAGACAAAGTAAAATATTATAATGAAATGTGCAAAGATCAGGAGTCAGAAAGCCAAAAGGGAAGACATGCCCAGCATGTTAAAGCCTTGACTTTAACCTTGAAGTATTCTATGTGCAAAATAATGAATGATGCAGAAAGTATCAAAAGAAAATGGAAGGTGTACACAGTCACTCTACCAAAAAGAAATGGTTGATTTTCAGTCATGTTACGAGGTATCATATAATCAACCACCAATGTACATACATATACACACATACACCTTTATGTTTATAATGGATATAGTGGATGTAATGGAAGAAGTCCAAGGTATTCTAAAGGCATTGACAGAGAACAAAGCTCTGGGAATTAATAGACTACAGATGAAAATCTTTCAACAAGTTGATGTGGCACTGGAGGCACTCACTAATCTATGCTAAGAAATTTTGAAGACAGCTGCCTGGCCAACTGATTGGAAGAGATCATTATTTGTGCCCACTCCAAACAGAGGTGACCCAACAGAATGGGACAATCACCAGCCAATATCATCAACATCATATGCAAGTAAAGTTTGGCTAAAAATCACTTAAAAATGGCTGCAAGAGTACATTGAGAGCAAATTCCCTGAGGTTCAAGCTGCATTCAGTCAAAGACATGGAATAAGGGATATCTTCGCTGGCATCAGATGGATCTTAGCTGAAAGCAAAGAATATCAGAAAGATGTTTTCTTGTACTTTATTGACTTTGCTAAGGTTTTTGATTGTGTGGATCATGACAAGCTATAGACAACATTGTGGAGAATGAGTATTCCAGAACACTTAATTGTGCTCATGAGGAACCTATACATAGACCAAGTGGCACTTGTTTGAATAGAACAAGGGGACCCTGAATGGTGTCTTTCAGCATACTTATTCAATCTGTTTTTTGTGCAAACAATTAGAGAAGCTAGATTATATGAAGAAAACTGTGACATCAGTGTTGGATGAAGACTCATTAACAACTTGGGATAGGCAGATGATGCAAGCTTGCTAGTTAAAAGCAAAGAGGACTTAAAATACTTACTAATGAAGATCAAAAACTACAGCCTTCAGTATGGATTGCACCTCAGTGTAAAGAAAACAAAAACCCTCACCACTGGACCAATAAACAACATTCATAACAATGGAGAAAAGTTTGAAGTTGTCAGATACTTCATTTTGCTAGGATCAACCAATAACATTTATGGAAGCAGTAGTCAAGAAATCAAACGACATATTCCATTAGGCAAATCTATAGCAGAACACCTCTTAAAAGTGTTCAAGAACAAAAGTATCAGTTTGAGGGTTAGGGTGCACCTC